GGAGGATGAGGGTAGGAAGGGAGGCTTGGGGGTGAGGGCTGGATGGGTTTTGGAGGGTTGGGAGAGTTTGGTGGAACCAGGCAGAGCCATGGGTTTGAATTGTGGTTTGTTCCCCTTCTGCAGCCCAACCCCCTGGCACCAGCTCTATTTCAGGCAAACCTGAGGAAGCTGCTGGCCTGAGTGACAGTGAAATCCACAGGTGGTAAAAGCTCCTGGCCTGGAGCGAGAAACCCTGTCCCGACTCCCCATGAAGACGAGTTCCCAGGCCGAGATGCCTAATTTGTGTGTCTGGTTTTATTATCCACCAGACTGCAGACACTGTTAAGTGATTGCAGTTGTTTAAATGTATTCACTTTGTCTTATTCTGTTGCAAGGGCTTCTTAGTGCTCCACAGATGTAAGCTCTCCCCAGCATACGTGCAAATGACAACCACACAGAGGAAGATGTTGTAAAGGAAATTGTATATTGATAGCACCGATTGTGAGGGAATGTGGGGTTTTATGTCGCATTGCTGAGAGGTATTCTGCCTTCCAATGCAGAATTCAGCAGTGGTTACTGTTAGAAACTAGCAGATTGGATGGACCTGTGGGATCTTCTAGCAATCTTTGCTTCTGTGGAAAGAAGATAAAAACAGTGTTTCAAGCACAGGGGATCGCATTGCCCTCCCAAAGTGCCAGGCAGGGGTCCACCTACACTCTGCCCCCCAAATGCCTACTGTAGGTGCACTGGGAGAGGAGTGTTGCTGCTCCCAGCCCCCAGTGCTCGCTCTGCCTGAGCTCCAGGGCTGGGGAGTATGGGGCTATGTGCCCTCCTCCCTCCCCTGTGTTCTGGGGCTGAGGAGACTGGGGCTGCATGCCCTCCTCATTCCCCACTGTGCTGGGAGGGGCTGGGGCCTTGCTCCACCCTACTTCCCTGTAGTGCTGGGGAGTGGGACCTGGACAGAGGAGGCAAGGTTGGGGTCTCCTCCTCCAGCCCTACTTTTACCCTATGGCTTCAAGCTACAATAATCACTTAAAAGAGTAGTAATCTTTGGGTCAAAATGATCAAGGAATGTAGTTATTGGCTGGATAACTGGAGATTGAATCCATTTGGGAGTGATAATTGGGAGGGTCAGTGATGAGATGTATTTGAGGATAGCAATACAATATTTTCTAGATAGACTGTAGCGTACACACTTCCTGAGGGCTACATTGTGGAGGGAGGGTGATTCCTTACATTAAGCTCATCCACCTTGCAGGATTTGGGTTACAGCTGGCCAGGATTGTACAGCCCTTGGGCTTCTATTGTACTTGTTTCCTCCAAGAGGAATTCACCCATACTGGAGTGGGAAGTAGCTGTGGCTCTGCTCCCTTTCCCCTTCCCATCTAACAGAGGTCAGCAGAACTGAGTAGTTGGAGGAAGATATACTGCACTCCCTAGGAGTGTTGCAAAATACCTTTCTCTTGGTCTAGCTGGGGACCTTCCAGAGTTCCCCTGGATCAGTGCATAATCTGCTTGAAACTTGGGTGAATTCCTACAGTGCAAATCCCAGCTTCCTGTGACTACATTAGCACGTTGTACCAGATCAGCGCTATTGCTGGTTGTCCATCAGTTTCTGGACTTGTGCACATTTCTGGTGCAGACAAAACCATAGGAGAGAAAAGTTGTTGTCGTGCTGGGGGACAGAGAAGACCCCCTAATTCCTGCTCTTATTACAGCTGTGTCCGTATGCAGGAAACAAAGAAGAGCTGGGCTAGACTTGCTATAGTTGCTTGCTGATACAAGCGAAGAGTCCATCATTAACAAGGATGTTGACACCCTCCTACCACTGCAGAGCTGATGAGATCTCTTGCTACCATTCTTGGAGGAAAGGGTGTGGCTCTTTTGCCCAGTTTGCCTTTCCTTTTATAGTGAAACTCCGCTTTTGTGCAGGGAGGAAGGGACCACAAACTGTTTTCGAGGTTTACACTGTGTAGGAACTTCATCCCAGTGCTGATGTCAGTCTGAATAAATACTGCCCTCATTTCATTAAACTGGTAGCCTTTGCAAAACCTCAGGCTAAGGTTTTGTGCAGACCTCAAGGATCTGATGTTGGGAGGAGAGAGCTTGTAAAAATGATGGGGATGGAGTTCCAACAGGAAAAAATGATGTAATGTGGCTAAGCAATATACCACACAACGTGGTCATTTTCCATTTAATATGTCTGTGCTGCATGTCCATAATTTCTAGGCATTTGGTTTGTCTCAGTCTCTTTTTCCCATCTCTCTCTCAGGCTGCTTCTTTGTCTGCCTGGCTATTCATAGGTCTTATTCTTGGTTTTTAGAGGCAAAATTCACGTCTTCTCAGCTCACACATTTTGATGAAGTACTTGTGGTTTACAGGCATAAAAGAACTATCATGACCCTCTCACCCATGAAAAATGACTGGGAAATTCTGCATGGGTGGTATGTTTCTTCCTCTACTGTCTTGCCTTGAAAGAGTAGCTGCCCTTTTGCAATGTGTGGAATCTCAGTCAAGATGCTTTAAAGTAACTGTCTGCTGCAGTAAACAGAGTTGTGACTTCAGGGGGAACATATTTTCGGCTCTTTATTTTGAAATCAACCACTTAGCGAAATTAACAATTCATATCTGCTGGCTGCACCACCCAGAAAGTTTTGCCTTTGAAATTAGCTCCTTTCACGGACCTGAAGTGCTTTCTTTTCTGACAGGTTTCCTACTGAGATGTCTGAGCAGAGGCAGAGGAGTTCTGGTGTGTTACAATAGAAGCACAGTTCTGTGCAGCCTGTTATTCGAGTCCTGGGGATTAATGTTTGTTTGTGCACAGCAAAATCAGTAGCATGATGAACCCCAACTTTTGCTAAAGAACATCAACTCCTTGCTCATGGCCTGACAGGACTGATTTTAGGGTTGAGAGGATAGATCAGCCTCCAGAGCCTATTCTATCCTGGGCCTCCCTGCCAACTTGGGTACTACTTGTGGTGGATGGTTTCTGTCATGTGGACCTCTGTTCTCTAGGCACTGGACTGAGACCACTAACTTGCATCACAAAAGTGCCATAGTATGGTAGCAATTTTCAGTCACTACTCTCTACAGATGGCTCGGGACCAGCAACCCAGAGGGGCAAGGCTCTGGGCTAAATCCTGCCCTGGTGCTGGCCCCTTTGCCCCGCTTTCAGAGAAAAACTGTGAGAGAGTTGACCTAGGAGGGTAATTGAGGGTAGGATATAGGAGCCCCTTACAGCTGTTCTTATCAAATGAAGATTCCTCTACACCGAGGGAATCCCCGGTACCTGAGGAGCACAGAGCTCTGAAAATACAAGGATAGCCAAGTTCTTGGACTGTAACTCATTTGTGAGCAGTTTGTTGTGATGCTAAAAACTCAAACTTTGTGCCTCTGAGCACCGAAGTTCCTTGCATGGTGCGTGTCTGGTCCCTGATGGGCTGAATGGAATGCTTAAAATCAAGTTTTTGGTGCTTGCAGAAGAGAATGATACATTTGCTTTTCCTAGATTTTCTTTATTATTTGCTTGACTTCTCCATTTCTGAAAACAGGCTGGTCAGCGAGCTCCTTTGCTAGAATATTTGTGGGCTGCAAATGCAAAAAGGGATATGGGCACAGCCCAAGAGATTTTGTTTACAAAAATAAAAACAATAATCGTGCATTGTTTTTTGCAGCATATGCCCTGCTGAGCAGCTACAGGGAGAGCTGGCGAGTCCAGCTGGAAAATGGCAGAGGTGAGTGTGGGAGGTGCTGTGTATGAGGAGTATGCCCCTGGGGAGGGTGCGGGATATAAGAGGAGACTGATGCCAGGAATCCAAGAGGACAAATGCAGCTCTAAGCTCTGTTATCTCTTGAATTTAAAATCCTGCTCTCGCATCACATCGTAGAGTCCCATTTGACCCACCCAGTGCACAAACAGTAAATGTGCAGATGTGCACACTCTAATGCACACGTTGCCAGGCAAAGGCTGCTGAACTAAATGAGATTTGCACAACTGGCAGGTATGTAGGAATCCTGAGGAATATTTCCTATCCTGTACACTTGCCTGAGTTATGGGGAAGGCTGCATAATTCCCATGTACTGTGTTTTTCCCTCTGGCTTTTAGTAATTTTGTGATTTTTAAAAATATTCTTAATTCAAAAGAAGGTTATCTGCTCACAATTCCAAATTCTCCTCTCAAATTTATCCCCATTACATCACCCTTTGGGCCAGGAAAGGGCATGTCTGGAATCACACCACTGTTCTCCAGCAATTCTTAGTTGTAGATGGTTCCTTGGAGACGATAGCCAGCTAGCACAGGTTAGAGCAGCTGCCATGTTAGAGCCAGAGCTGCTAATGGGAAAGAATCAGGGAACTGTAGTTGAACATCTGATGGGCATGCTCCTCTTCCTCTGCCCTGGGTGGATCTCCACACAGGAGAGAATCTGGCCCTGAACTTCACTATTTTATTTCTCCAAGATTGTTACCAATAAAGAGCATGACATCATTGAGTAAATCAGAGCTGTCTGATGGATCATTGTTCCGACATCCTCTGCTGATGTGGGCAAAGCCTGTTGGAGTTCTTAGATCAAGTCAAGATTTGTCATGAATGCATAGTTTTACCTTTTCCTGAACACCTCCTGGAGTCCTGTCTGCTCTCCTATTACAGCAACCATTTAGAAAAACAAATGAACAAGTAGGGCATATTAGAGTCCTTTAGATGATGAGAACTAATAGTTTCTTTAATGTGGATCTTCAGGATGTCCGTTAGCCTAAACTGTTTTGTCCAAGTGGTTGCAAGCAATGTCCAGAACCTCTTGAAAATACGGTTTTTGAATTCAGTTTGCCTTTGCTGACGAAGTTTCCAGAATATCTTTTTCTCCCTTCTTTCAGACCATTGTTGGTGGGAGTTGTTTAATCTTTTTGAATTCAGTTTGCCTTTGCTGACAAAGTTTCCAGAATATGTTTTTCTCCCTTCTTTCAGCCCATTGTTGGTGGGAGTTGTTTAATGCAACAGCTCAGACGTAACGCCTTGACTTGCAGTCCTAGCGAGGGTTTGGAAAAATCTGCTCTGTGCAACAAAGTGCACCATACTTCATATCTGAGCCCAGAAGATGAGAGAAGGAGCCATCGATGCATGTCTGTGATACTTACCATTTGCACTGTGCCTTGCATTGCGGAGTGCTGGAATCCGCAACATCCTGGGGAGAAAGTTAAGTGTGATTGGGTCAGATCCTGAGCCAATTCTGAGCCAGGGTGGTCCCCTAATGTAAGTTAGGGTCAACCTGCACTCTAAATAGCTCCAGCTGCCAGTGTTTCCAGGGAGCCTCTGTGATAGGGAATCAGCAGGGCACAGAAACAACCTGGGTATGGCCCATTTTTCCTGGCTATGCTCCCTGTGCCAGCAATAGGAAAAGATGGTAACACAAACTGGGCTAATGGAGAATCGGCCGTGAACAACTGTGCTGGCTCTAGGGCCATGAGGCATAAAGTGCTGTATGATACTGGAGGATCTGGGCCATTGTCACCCTGTCACAGACTGGGAAACTGATATTGTGAAAGACTAATTGACTTGCACCAGGCCAGTACAAGATAGGGACTGTAGGTTTGTTCTTAAGTTGAATTTGTATGTAAGTCGGAACTGGTACATATTGTAGGGGAAACTCTAGCCAAACATTTCTCCAGAGCTCAGTTTTATTCTCCCACACCTCACTTCCCTCAGGCTTTATTCTCAAGCTGAGGTGTCTGCTGAGAAAAGCCACTCCGCGTCTCCCTGGTCTGCTGGGGGGAGAGGGGCGCTAGCTTTGCGTCTCCCTGGTCTGCTGTGGGGGGGAGGGGCGCTAGCTTCGCGTCTCCCTGGTCTGCTGGGGGGAAGCAGCTAGTGCGGGGTTGCCTCACCCCGTTTGTAAGTAGGGATCCGATGTAAGTCGGATCCATGTAACCCGGGGACTGCCTGTAATTGACTTGCACCAGGCCCCTGCGGTGTGTCAGAATCTAAAGGGGGCCAGCGTGCAGCTGCTCCTGGCTCAGAGTCCTGTGCTTAGACCGTTGGCCCATGACATGTTGCCTCCCCTGAATCAGTCCCCAAGAGTCAAAAGGTCAAATGATAATGAATATAAAAGGCAAGAAATAAACCCAGAGTCCCAAGCCTCAAAAATAAAAGTACCCAAGGCAGCCTCAGTTGACAATAGAGTCCTGCCTGGAATACTGAAAAGACAGTGGTGCCTTTCTTGCCCCTCCTCCCCAATTGACTCCAAATGTACTTGGCAAAAATCTTCTGTCATGCTTGTTTTAAAGCCCTCTTCCCACTTATGAGCCCCCACTCCTTCAGTGGGGTAATATAATGAATTCAAAAAGCTCCTCCCAAAAATCAGGTTCTATCTTTATTGGATCCGCTTCTGTTTGTGGAAGAGACAAATCTATGAACCCACAGTGCTGCGATTTAATCGGAACGGGTTTTGAAGTTATACTTTTTTCTTTTTTGTGCTCAGTATGCCCAGGCCTCAGCAAAATGATGCTTTCAAAGCGCTTAACAGTGTATGGGACTTCACAGCAATTCTGAGATCTTTGCTCCTGTTTTTGCAAAAATATTAACATCTGCTGGTTTTTAGTCAAAACCTAGACATAAAGTGATAGGGTCTGATAGAATGAGAGACTGAGACACAGTGAAGAATTTTTCATTCTCTGTCAACCCTTCTTCATTCCTTATGGAAAGCTCAGAAGGGAAACACCCAAGTGTCTCTATTGGCTCCTTCCATCTAGCCTGAATGAGATTTAAACTCACAGAGGGGGAAAGAGATATCAGAAGCTGAGCTGGGAAGAGAAGAGCAGTTGCTAAAGCTTAGCTTGTTCCAGTTTCCTATTACAGGTGGCAGCCAAATCGGTGGGACCCTATTGCTTATCAGACAACTGAAGAATATTCCAGTGGTAAGGGGAACATTTTTCTAGTTTCCTTTAAGATAAGAAATGAGAATATGATTAGATCTTGATGAAGCATAAATGATATTTTTTTTCCTTTTATAGTGCCTTTCACCTAAACACCTCAAGCACTTTACACACACTAATGAAATAAGCCTCACCACACAGGTAAGTGTTATTAGAATATATATTTTCACAGACAATTGTGTTCCAGTTAATATACAGTATGTGCTTCAAGTTAAAATGTTTAAACTTGCTCAGAGTGTTTTCCTTCAAAGAAATATCTAGAATGAAATGTTGTTTCCATTGAAGCCAATGGGAGTTTTGCCATTTGCCTTCAGCAGTCAGGATTTCACTACTGGACTGGTTATATCAGGATCTGTTGTGTTATCTATAGTTTCTATTTCAGACACTGTTTTCTATGGTTTTTTTGTATTGTTTTATTGCCATGGGATCATACTAAGGTTTATTCATATTTACATGTTCTGATTGCCACACAAGCTAATATCAAACTGCTGATAGGGCTGTCAAGCAATTAAAAAAATTAATCGTGATTAATTGCCCTGTTAAACAATAAGACTCCAGCTGACCCCGAGCTTCATGCAACACTGCCCCTTTGAAACGCCATTGTGGCATTTCAAAGGGGCAGCACAGAGCAGAACCTGGGATCAGCTGTGCGTGCTGCCCCAACACCGCGGTGGTGTTTCAAAGGGGCAGTGCCACGGAGACACCAGCGATTAAATGTACGTTAAAAAAAGCCACACAGCTGATCCTGGGCTCTGCTTGTGCTGCCCCTTTGAAACTCTGTGGTGGTGTTTCAAAGGGGCAGCACCACGGAAACACCTGCGATTAAATGCATGTTAAAAAAGTTATCGTGTGAATTCTGTCCTGCGTTAATCACAGGTGTTAACGCATATTAATTGGCAGCCGTTAATATATAAATTATCTACCTGCTCAGGAGCCTTTTTCATGTCTTACAGTGCACATATTATTTCACAGGCTCCATAAGACCAAAATATTTATGCTCTTTATCATCTGCTTATTTTTTTAAAGAAAAGTTTATTTCATTTGACCAGAAGTGATTAATATAATTCAGAATTTTTGTAATGATAGCATTTATAACAATTATCTTGCCTTAGAGAGAGACTTAATTTAATAAAATAATAGCTAATGCCACATAATGAATAATGTAAATATTTGATTGGTAAGTAACATATAAAAATGAAGCTAATGTTACACACTTTTTACAAAAATCCTTATTATATTAAAGAACTCAATCAGAAAATAAATAAATAAAAGCAAAGATGTAGACATTTGCAAAGCAGTCTATGGGATTTAGACATAAATCTTTCAAACTAATTAATTAGGAAGCCTGGTACATTAAAAAATGTAGACCTTGTGGAAGAAAAAACACATGAGAAGAAAAAGATAATACCCAAAGGCCCCCACATTTACCTTACTTGTTCCCGTTCTGTTTTCTAATAACTGAAATAATCCAAAACTTGTGTAAACGTAGGTAATATGTCAGTTGGCAAGCAATGTCCTGGAAAAAGGCAGTATCACTCATGCAAAAAAACAAACAAACAAAAAAACAACAGTCTAACCAAGTTAGATTCAGTTGTATTCCAAGCAGAATGTGGTCAGCTCATATTGTACCTATAAGATATTGTGGCTTATATTGTAACTCATATTGTAGCTACAGCGTATTGTAAATCATATTGTAGCTCCATTTCTTCTGGAGCCCCAGATGTGTTTTGTGTTCCATTAAAATCAGAATTTAACTTAAACATGCTCATACACACCCACAAATTATTAAAAACATCAACCCACACAGGAAAATAAAATTGTTAGGAGTAGCTTTCTACAGGAAATGGCTTTGGAAATAGAAGCAGTCTCAGTGCAGAAAGTAAACATGAGAAATTCAGCCATTTACACAAAATTAAGTTTATGGAAACTGTAAAATAAGTAACTTGTCTTTTCAATCCACATGACTGAATGCCCCACTAGTCTGGATAAACAAGTATATGTATAATAGGCAGCAACTGGCCGGGATATGGACTAGAGTATTAGAGAACTGAATGGGAATTTTCCATTTCTAATTTCTGTGAAAATGTCTGCCTCTTGGGCACAGTGGGTATTGGGCATTTTGTGGGGTGCCAATGAATATAGAAAACCTTCACATATGAGTTCTGCTTTTCACTGGTGCTGGTGTCTATTTAGCCATTTTTCATTGGTATCATTGCAATGTCAACAATGCAGAACGGGCTAGATTCTGCTCTCATTTAAACTAAGATAAATCAGCAACAACTTAATTGATCTCAGTGGCGTTACTCCAGATCTACTCCAGTGTAACTGGGAACAGGATTTTGCCATGTACCTCTGACAATACCCCCTTTCCTATTTGCAAGCTGGTATTGCACATGACCCTGTTTCAGAGCTATTGAACTGTTAGGTCTTAACTAGGGATGTTAAATATCAGTTAATTGAATAGTCCAATAACCTTATGAATTCTTATTCGTTACTCGACTGTTCTATAGTACCTGGGGGTGGGGCCAACAGCCAATGCCTGTATCAGAGGCAGCAGCATGGGGTGCCAGGCGGGAGCTGGTCCACGAGGGGAGCCTGTTTAAAAACTAGCTCCCCTAGCGGACTGGCTGCCTGTCGCCCGTGCTGCTGCCTCTGGTACAGAGGTAGCAGCAGCGCCTGTTTGGGGGTGGGGTCTGAGCACCTGGACCCCGCACAAGCTGGAACTGAGACGTGCTGCCTGCCCACCTGGCTTCTAATACGCTTTAAATGCAGAGCCGCAGTGGGGTAGGTCCCAGACTCAGCACAAGCCGGGACAGAGATGAGCTGCTGGCCAGCCTGTAAAAAATTTACTAGCAAGGGAGGGGAAAATGTGTGTAGTCTACAGCATTAACTGATAAGCTTTAATTGACTTGGTTAATTGTCTACACTATTACATCCCTAGTCTTAACACGGCAAATAATTTTATAGCCAATGTCTGTGCTGTGGACACTAGGACAGAGCTACTGGTGGCTACTCACACTCAAAAGCCGTTGAATCCCAACATTCCCAGGTTCAGACAGGCAGGGATGGAATAACTACGTTTCACAATATTTGTTGCACCATATGTGGTAAATGTTTGGCCATTTCCCTTTAGCTAGCCCTGCTTCAAGGAGCCAGCCCCCCACAGCCTTCCTCACGAAATGTCCATTGATGCTCAAACCTGTCTGTGATCCCAGCAAAGTGCTTTAGAATCAGCTTTCTCTCCCCTCCAATAACCACAGCAGCCTTGGCAGTTTCATTTTGGCATTATCATCGAAACTGCTCCTCTCTGGGAAAAGCACAGTAGTATGAAATCCCATAAGGTTCAAGTCTCAGCCCCATGCTCGTTCTCCGATTAGCCATAAAAAAGATGGCTTTAATTTGAGCTAATACTTCTAACTTTTAAAGTATGCACATTTTCACCACCTCACGACCTGCCTTGGCCACTGTGTCTCAACTTCCTTTAGCAAAATGTCTCAAAGCCCAACGTGCTTCCTTTAGGGAAAAGGAACATCCTCAGATGAACCTGATTTCCTCTATTTCTCTCCAGGATGTGGGCCTCGGATTTGCCTATCACTGTCTGTAATACCGGAGTTACCCTCCTCTTCCTGGGTCTCCTGTGTCTGTGAATCTCTCTAGTTCTACCTGAGCAGCACTGCCTGCATATATCCCCACTTCTCAGTCCCTCCTCTGCTGAAATCAGCATCTGTGGTTTTATCATCCCTTGTCTTGATTATAGTAGCTTCCATCTCTGCAGTGTTGCCATGCTTTAACTGAGCATGTACAGAATGAAAACAGCCAGGAGTCCGGTGGCACTTTAAAGACTAACACGGCTACCTCTCTGAAATGGGTCATGTACAGAGTGCTGCTCATTAGCCATGAAAAGATATGTAACCATGTCACCTACATCTTTAAACAATAGCCCTCTTTCACTCCATTTCAGGATCTGGTTGAAAATGAACCCCATTGTTCTTAAAGCCCTCCGTAAACATGCTGCATTGACTTTTGGCCAGATCCTCTGCTGGTGTAGATCATTATAGTTCCAGCAGAGTTGATCAGGCCATGATGATTTACACCAGGCGATGAACCGGCTGATTGTCTCTCCATTCCCCTTTCTGTTCATCCCCCTTGCCTACTACCAGCATCCTCCCTGCCTCATTTCACAGTCTCACCACTATTGGACCTAGAACCTACTCTTTTGCATCTCCTGCCATCTTGAACAATCTCTGTGCATCTCGACTATGCATCTGTTTTCCTCTGAAAACGTACCCTAACTCCCGGCCTCTCTTTTCCACCACAATTTCTCTTTTCCACCACAATTTATTTTTTTAAACTTTGTAAATCTAGTATTTAACTTATGGAGTGTTTTGAGGTATAACTAATGTGTCAGACACTGTTCCAAGATAAAGCTGTGTTATATTTTGCAGAGTACAGAGAACTTATGTCATTTCCTTCTAGGTCATAAAGCAAGTCAGTGAATAGGAATCCAATCCAGGTGTACTCATCCTTATTGGTACGGTTTAAGAACTAGTTAAATGAGACTTAAATTATTCTTTCATTTCATTAGGCAGAGCATGATGGGAGCAGGGGAGACAGTGTAGCATCTACTGACAATATATCCAGCTCAATTAGTAAACTCTTGCTCTTGGGGGCACTGAAAGTTGCCAAATTATTATTTTTTAAAAAATAAATAATTAATTAACCCCCCCAAAAATTTCTAGTTTTAGACGATTGCTTCCTTTGGAAAAGATGCAGCCATCTGACTCAGTGCTAGGAACCATCCATTTGGGCCAAACCTTTGATTTAAGGTTTGTGTTGTGCTAGCGCTTACAGGCCAGAGGCTATTCAAGCCCTATTATGATAGGCACTGTACAAACATGCTGTAAATTCTAGTCCCTTTCCTGAAGAGCTTATAGTCTAAAATGGTAAGGAATGTACAGCTACATTATTAACAGCCTATCAAGTGCTTTGAGATGTAGGTATGCCAGCCTTGCATAAGAGGTTGTGGGTTCAAATCCTATGAAAGCGATCAGAGTAAAGATTAGAACTATGGTACCATTTAAATGTTTGCTTAGATGGTCCTTGCCCCAAAGAAATGACTTATTTTGTTTCATGCTTGTACAAATGCCTAGCAAAAAGAAGCTGGGGCGATTAAGTGGCACTGCAGTACAAGAAATATATGTAACAGCCAGTTAACTAGAAGAAATACAGTTGTCCAGAACAGCAAATTGCGAAATTCAGTACGCAGTAGAATACATGGGCATAGACATTGGGAATGGAAAAGACCTACAGGATTAGATCATCTTATTCCATGAGAATATCGACAGTGTCTTATTAGCTAACGTTCTACTAACTTGAGGTTTAAATGTCACAAGCAATGTATTTTCCACCACGTCCCTTAGGAGACTATTCCATAATCTAATAGATCTGACTGTTAGGAAAAAACATTCCTGGTATTCAGTCTGAACCTTTCCTTTGCTAAGTTTCACCCTATTACTTCCTGTTACATGATCCTACATATGACAGACATAATGTTCTCAATGAAGGATTGGTTACATCCACCCTCTTCTTCTTAAACAGCAGGGAAAAATCTCTTTATTACATGATATTGAAGCCAGAAGTATTGTTGTCCTCTCTCATTACACTTGACAGAAGTGCTATGTTCAGGAGTTTTTCCCTTGAGTGATCTGCTTGTCCAGGAAAATCTGAGATCAATTTGTGGTGCTCAAGATTCTAATTAGTAGAGACATCATGTTACGACACAGAATGGCATGCGGTACCCAGAGCTGAGAGAAGGGGTTTGTGTGTGTGCGTGGGCAGGTTTTCCAGCTCCAGGGCTTCGAAAATAAACTCTGTAAAACAAGAGTCTGGGCCTTCTGGCTGTGGTCTATGGTAAAAGTGCGTGGATCGCAAGCACTACGTTGTCTCAGAGCCTTAAAAAAAGGGCAGCCCTTTTTACTTGATTTGTTCCAGAGGGCTAAAGAGAGATGGAGGTAGTTCATTTCTATGGCTCTTTGCCTATGAAAGGGGAGGGTTGGAAATAATGTGGAAATGGAATAGCAGATGATGGTAGAGAGAATCAAAAGCCACATCTTCCTTGGCTAACAGGTGGTTGCAAAACCTCAGAACAAGGATGAGGAAGTCCTGCATCAGCAGAATAATGTGCAAATGCTGAAAGGAAAAAGTTACAGATTTTTCTCATTTTTAGATTTTCTTTATACATAATAATGGCTCATGGAGTGAATCTGAAGTCCTTATGCTACTTCACTCACTATTTCCCCTGGCAAAACTCCTATTGTCTTCAATTAATGCTCTGCCTGCATATGTGCCAAGTAAGGTGTTCAGCATTTGGCCCTACATTCATTTGTGTTAGATTTTTTTATGATTATTTTTTAAGGAGCCCAGAGCTTCAAGCTGCTGAATAGACATGGTACTTTTCCTGAACCCAGGTGGCAATGTTTGCTCTCCAGGGCTGGCAGGGGCCATGCTGCCAGTCTGCCATTGTTGCTCTCCAGGCTGATCCAGAGCTGGTGAGCGTGTCCTTGCTTGCTGCCCATCTGTGGTCATTTGGGAGTATAACTGTCCCTGCTGTCTCAGCCCTCTCTTTCTGTTTGATGAGAAACATTCACATTCCACACACATCCTATTGTCCTGGCACAACCAAACCCTGACCTTGCTTTAAGCTAGGAGAAGGGCCCCCCACTATAGAAAGGATGTGGACACATTGGAGAGGGTCCAGCGGAGGGTGACCAAAATGATTCGGGGGCTGAAGCGCATGACCTATGAGCAGAGGCTGAGGAATTTGGGCTTGTTTAGTCTGCAGAAGAGCAGAGTGAGGGGGGATTTGAGAGCAGCCTTCAACTTCCTGAAGGAAGGTTCCAAAGAGGATGGAGAGAGGCTGTTCTCAGTAGTGAGGGATGGCAGAACAAGGAGCAATGGTCTCAAGTTACAGTGCGGGAGGTCTAGGTTGGAAATCAGGAAAAACTATTTCTCTAGGAGGGTGGTAAAGCACTGGAATGGGTTCCCTAGGGAGGTGGTGGAATCTCCATCCCTAGAGGTTTTTAAGTCTTGGCTTGTCAAAGCCCTGGGGGGGTTGATTTAGTTAGGATTGGTCCTGCCTTGGGCAGGGGGCTGGAGTTGATGCCTCCTGAGGTCTCTTCCAGCTCTATGATTCCATGAGGAAGCTGCCTACCAAATTTGAGGGTCCTAGCTCTTACATTTAGAAGATGTTCTTGAGCAAATGGACTCATGGATGGATGGACAGAGACAGATGCACAAACTTTCTCGAATATATAGTAGACTTGTACAGTGTAGCTCCTCCCAAAGATCCCCCCAACTCCACAGTATTTTCCAATTAACAGCCAAACTAGATGCAGTAAAACCTGCACAAAACACCATTTGTATTTGCCAACTTCTTAAGAGGCTGGCTCAAGATACTATGGGCTGAAACAATTCTATTACAGACATCAATAGAAAATGACCTCGGGTAAGGAGCTGATTTTTGTCAGTCTCTTGAATAGCTGCTTTAAAGTGTGCTTCACTGTATAGGGCAGCGATGAGCCACCTGGGCTAGTGAGTGGGCTACATGAGCGGCCCTCTCTCCTGTCAGTGGGCTGAAAAACTGTCGAAATCAAGATAGTTTCCCAGGATCGGGTAGTTTCGTTAACTGCTCTTGCGTACCTAACATTTGTAGGGCGTACCGACTGAACCATAGTGGCACTTTGATTGACTGCAGAAGGAGCGCACAGCTCCCCTAGAGACAGCTAAAATCCCATTTAATTAGTTAACTGGTTAAACGCTATGTTTAACCAGCAAACTGCTTAAATGGGCACAGGCCGGGGGCTGCTCCAGCCCAGAGCGGCCTCCCTGCCTGGTGTGGCTGGACTAGAATGGCCCCCCTGCCACGGGCAGAGGTTGCTCCGGCCAGGCTGGAGTACCCTCACCACGGCGCGCTGCTCCGGTTAGGCCAGGCCCACTGCAGATGGGGACTTCTTCACCCAGATTGGCGCGCAGGGGCAGCCCGTGAGCCTAGGCAGACTCAGTGGTCACCGCCGGCCTGGGCGCCTGATGATGACATCACAGCCACCGACGGCCGTGCAGGCGAGGGCGCCGATCATGCCTTCCGCCTGGGGTGCCAGCTGCGACAGCTGGCCTCGGGCCACTCCTGCTGACATGCCCCTCCCCCCCCCGCTCGCAGCAGGCCCCACCAGGTTGAAGCAGTCCCCTGCCCGTGACAGGCGGAAGGTTGCTCCAGCCCCCACCGGTTAACCATTCACATCCCTAGCTCTGTCAGTGTTGTGTGCAGTCAGCATGCATCGCACATCATGTGTGTGGCACTCTAGTAGGAGCGGGATCTGGCAACCCTGCACATGGGCAACAGTAAACAAAATGTCTCGTGGGCCACACAGAACCCATGTGGCCCGTGGGCCACAGGTTGCCCATCACTGGTATACAGAGATTACTTCATCCACCATTGAAATGCAGCCATCTCTGGGGTGAACTATGTTTAACAGCTGACTGAAACAGTATACAGCAACTTAATGTAATAACTGAGGGGAAAATACAATATCCATTGAAACTGCAGAGGAATTTTGTTAGAGCTAATGGCGGGTAGGGCCAATACTTTTAAGATAAGTAAAGGTACAACAGGACAGTTAATAATCCTGATAATTGGTACTATGGTTTTAAGGGTGTTATAAGGAGAAGGGAGAAAAATTGTTCTTCTTGGCTTCTGAGGATAGGACAAGAAGCAGTGGGCTTAAATTGCAGCAAGGGAGGTTTAGGTTGGACATCAGGAAAACATTTCTGCCTGTCAGGATGATTGCACACTGAAATAAATTGCCTAGGGGGGTTGTGGAATCTCCATCTCTGGAGATATTTAAGAGCAGGTTAGACAGGCACCTGTCAGGAATGATCTAGATGGTGCTTGGTCCTGTTGTAAGGTCAGGGGACTAGACTTGATGACCTCTCGAGGTCCCTTCCAGTTCTATGATTCTATGATAAGTCTCGTGTAATATGGCATCTTGCAGAGCACAGTGCCTGCCAATGATGGGCCAGGACTCTAATTCAGTACTGACTCATAAGGAAAAGTGTCACCCAGTGAGTCAACACCATCACCATTTTCTGCATCACCGTAGGCATTCTTTACAAGTGTCCTATCCAATTACTGGCAAACCCACCACTGGTGAACTTGTGAGCTCACAGCACCAGATGGTCTCTTTGAATTCACTGAAAAACGGTTTTATGGTAGAAGTTTCTCATCTCCTTTTCTTTTTCCTCCTCCAGTCAGATTCACTGTTTTTATAGGGTCAGCTTCCCCCCGAAGAACTAGAAGATGAGTTTTTGGAGGTGGCTTGCTTTCCCTCAGAGGGTGTTGCTGTACCTGGCTCTCCAAACAACTGCTGCTCAGCTCTCCCCTGAACCCAACTGCACCAGCAATGGCCAGAAAATATCCTTCAGCCACTCCTACAAGATCGACCTGCCCAAATCATCTCAGCTCCAGGTGGAGGCGGACCCTCTGCCGCTCAAAGACGACAGTCATGTGCTGCTTGCAGCTGGGGGTGCTGCTGAGGAGGAGGAGCAGAATATCATATTCAGGCACAACATCCGGGTTCAGACGCCAAGAGGCGACTGTGAAGCTTTGGGACACATCAGAGACCTGCTGGGAAGGGTGGAAAAGATGGAGAAGGAAATGCTGGAGCTCAAGGAGGCCTGCAGTACACAGAGGTGCTGTGGGGGAGCTCCAGGTGTGCATCACACTGTGATTTATTTTTTGTGGTGTGTGTGCTCTCCAACTCCAGTGACTTGAATTGTTGGTCCCTCTCTGTGCTGTGCTGTCCGCCCCCGGAAAAGCCCTGGGCTGGCTGCAGCCCAGCTTTCTTACACCGGGGCACGGAAGGCTGAGGCGTGTGGAAGGAGGGATTCATTTGCTGAGTTTGAGGTGGGGAATCTGGGAGGGAGGGGGCGACGCAGTCATCCAAAAGGCCATTGAAGCCAGTGGAAAGGCTCCCATTGACTGGGCTTTGGGGCTTCAGATTCCGGAGATTTGGCTGGAATTCTGGTGTTTGTGGCAATAATGGGGAGTGTGGTTTGCAAGGTAACTTGACGGCCTGATCTTGAGGGAGCGGAACTCTAGACTCACCAAGCTGGGGTGGGGCTCGGGTGCCTGAACGCGGCGAGGCAATCTCAAGTTCCCAAAATGTGCTAATGCTCTAGCGTGGCGGGGAAGTCAGGACAGGGAGTTCTTGAGTGTGCGAGAAGGGACGTTCTGGAATTCCACATCAGCCGGAGGCGTGGTGGTGGAATTCCCAGGGTTGGTTTGGTTGGGTTTCCAATCCCAGAACTTTCAACTTTGAAGGAAAATGTTGAGACTTTGTTTGGTTTCAAACATAGAAGAGAGCCCAGGTGATGGTCTTATGTGGCACCAGTGGAAGCTAGAATCAGTCCATTCAGTTTCTTGCTCTCTTTCCCAGCAGTGGTCTTGACCAGATCTTCTCAATATCTGTCTACGGCTCTCTTTCTAATTCCGCGTGTCTGCCTCTTTTCTCTCCTGCGTGCACCCTGCTGATGTCGGCGCTGGGCCCTCAATTGGCCAGGAGTCTCGAATTGCAGTGGCCACGGGACTTTCATCCAAGAGATCTGTGGCTGTGACTGTGAGGAAGGCTGGGAGGGCAGCGATTGCTCCCGTCCCCACTGTCCCAACAACTGCCATGGTCACGGCCGCTGCGTGGATGGCAGGTGCCTCTGCAGCGATCCCTACGTGGGTGAGGACTGCGGCCAGCGGCTGTGCCCAGCCAACTGCAGCAGCAGCGGGGTCTGCAGCAATGGCGTGTGCCAGTGTTACGAGGAGTTCATCGCAGAGGACTGCAGCGAGAAGAGATGCCCCAACGACTGCAGCGGCAACGGCTTCTGTGACAGCGGCGAGTGCTACTGCCATGACGGCTTCATTGGGCTTGACTGCTCCCAAGGTGAGAAGCACCTTCCTCTTCTCCCTTCCCGCCGTCTTTTATCCGGTCCCTTCTGTCCCCCTTCCTCCCTGCCCTCCATGGCATGTGTGTGGTGCCCTCTGCCGCCAGCTCCACCCCGTCTCCATTACTGGAGACGTCGCTCTCCCCTGCTGGCAGAAGCCTGTATCCAAGGAGAGATGCTAACTAAGCCCATAGCTTGCTCCTGGGAATGAAGGCAAGGGGGCCAGCCAGATCTGCCTGCCTGCTGCTCTCTGCACAGGTTGTCAGCCTGAGGAGTCTGTACAGGCTCCGAGCAATGGTACAGGAAAAGCTCTGGGCGGAGACATTTAGGATCGGAAGGGACCTTAAAGTCCAGCGTCCTGCTGTCTCAGACAGTCTCATCACATAATCCTGTCCATAAATTGATCAATCTCCATCTTAAATCTCGGTCGATTGTTTGCCCCACTGCTGCTGTTGGAAACTCCCATTCGGAAAGCGATTCCTTGTTCTGTTGCAGGCTGCCTGATTCTGGCCCTGCCACCCAAAGAGAAGGGTCTGAATGCAGCATGGCTTCCTGCTTCCCAGACTGTTGCTGGCCCAGGAGTATGGGGGACTTGCTATAAAATGAATACACCACATTCTATCATTCCCTTTGTATTGGAACTCCGGACTAGATTGGCAAGGTCACAGAAAGGAAAAAATACTTTTCCCAAGGCCTGTGTCAGTTTGGTTGCTTCAAAATGTACCTGCCAAACTCTCCTCTTCCAATGCCATCAGACTGGCCTTCATAGTCTGCGAAAGAGACTTCTGGATCCGGAAAGATCATTACCAAGTGCTGCTCTTGAACTGTTCACTAGTGTTTACATCTCTTTGTCCGCCACAAGTTGTATTTAGTGATTTGTTGTCATTATTATTGGCATATTTGAGCCACTAGAATTTACTCGCTGTTCTCAATTCCCATGGGTCACTGCGACTATGCCTCTTTTTGTGCATAAGCAGAGAACTTCAGACTCTAGGGCCATTAATATTGTTCTGTTCACCTGCACTTCATTCATTGGATCAAGCTCACAGTTTGCATTGGAACAAAGGCCACTGGAGTCAATGGAAAGACTCATTGAGGCCACTGGGCTTTGGACCATGCCCGAAGAGGAGATGTCAGTTTAATCATTTCTTCTCCCTTTTTTTCCTGCAGTGGTTACTTCTCAGAACGTGCAGCTGCTAAAGACCACAGAAGATTCTTTGACCTTCAGCTGGGATGAGGTGCCCAACGTGGATTATTACCTCCTCAGCTATTATCCGATAGGGCATGAGGCCTCTGCAGTACAAGTCCGAGTGCCCAAAGGACAGCTGAGCTATGAGATCCCGGGCCTTCGCCCTAGCACAAAGTATCAGGTCGCACTTCGCAATGTGAAGAAGGGGATTTCCAGTAACGCTGAACACCTACAAGCAAGGACAGGTGGGAGCACTAGAAAGTCCCTTTCCTCCAACAAAGGTCTTCACAGTCAGATTCAGACTAAGGGGAGCGAGCTGATAGGCTTTGGAGGAGTGTGGCACGTCACATGACCTCTGTCTATGCTTTTGGAAAGACCTGTTCTCTCGGCCTTTCTTTGCCCTTTAAAGATGTTTTTCCAAAAAGTTTTTTTGGGGGTGTGTGTGAATTGCCCCTCCTCCTGTAGCCATTGTTTCCTGCTTCTAATCCCAAGGGAGTTCACAGTGCAGGGGATGGTCTACTCTCCCAGGATGCAGGAATGTTTCACTGATATACTGTCTGGAGTAGTTCATGAGTGCTGATCTCTGGGCAGGCACCCCACATGGGTGGTGTGTTCTCTAAGCAGATTTCACTGGCTCTGTAACAAATGGGAACTCCTGGATCACTACAACAGTCTTGCCACGGAGTCATAGATAGACTGGAGAGTCTAGGGGACTAGTTTGCCACATAGGACATCTGGGCTTGATGGTAAATGGTTACTTACACCAAAAATCACAGAAGGTTCAGGTTTGTTCCCAGTCCTAAGAGACCAATTGCTTACCCCAGATCAATCTGAGTCAGGACTTCACTTGTACACAGGGCAGTGCCGGGTGCACAGCACTTCCAAATGTCCTGCTACAATGCTGTAGCGTTATAGGCTCAGAGGGCAGAGCGCCTGATTTGAATGGTCAGCACTCCTTCCAGCAGTAGCTGTTTGCCTCCGGCATCTCTGGGTAGATCTGAACTAGTCTGACCTTCCTTAGGTGCTGAGATCTGATGAATTCACCAGGGTAGAAAGGCTGCAAGATTTGAAGCAACCTTCCTAAAACTGAGATGATTCTGTGAATGTGGGATTAACAGTTCACACTGCCCCCGCCAGGACCTCAAAAAGCCTGTTAAAGGGTGGTATTAGGAGGAGTAGGTTTTTATTTGTGATAGAACACATAGGAGCCAGTGTCGTCTATGGCTGGGTTAGAGTGGTACAGTAAAGAATAACTGCACTCTGCCTAGTGAACAACCCTTCAGTTCCTCTGAGAAACTGTACCTGGTTTTGAGGCCTGAGACACTCCTGTGGAGACAGTCTGACTTTTTCCTGTCTTGGGTGCACACGTGGAAGGGAGGTGGCTTTGCTGCTGCTGAAATGAGAATGTGTGGCTTCCTCATCACCTTCCCCACTCTTAGCTCTATCCGCAGTTAGCGCTGCCTGGGTGACAGAGGAGATGGAGGACTCGCTGGAAGTGGAGTGGGAGAACCCCCCAACAGAGCCGGACTATTTCAAGCTGAGATACAGCTCACTGCGTGGACAGGAGAAGGAGGTGGTGGTGCCTAATAGCAATGACCCCAAGAGCAGATACATCATCAGCGGTGAGTGATTGGGTATGGCGGAGGAGAAATGGGCAGAGACAGACAGGAGAGAGAGTGATTCTTGAACCCATAACCTGAGACGAGACTCTCTCTTGTTTCTGTATGGCTGATGCTCAGAGCACGCGCAGACAGAACTCTTCCACTTCATGCCCAAGCTGCTACTATGAGATCTACAATGCACTGCCAACCTCCATCCATGAGCCTTGTAGTAACAGATGAAAGTGCCGGGTTAACCACCTCTGGCACCTACTGGGCAGGCTAGGAGGAAGAGAGCCAAGCGTTTCTCTTACAGTAGCTCTCCCTGTGCCGTTAGGTCGAAACTCCTGCGTTCCCTTCAGAACACCTGTTCATTGATGAGGGATCAGGGCTGGAGTTTAACTAGCAGAACCCCAGGATACGATCCATTTCCATTCAATCTGATCTCAAATCACAAAAGATTCTGAGACTCCTTTTTGAATGATCAAAGCGCTTTATTTAGCTGGTCCTTGTAGCAAAATAGGTGAAATGATTCACTTTTTGTCCAGCTGGGAGTCTCCCTTTCAATATCTCCTATCATCTGGGGCAAATTCACGGCTGGTGTACCCCAGCATAGCTCCACTGAAGTCAGTGGATTCAGCCACTTATACCAGCTGGGAGGGAATCTGTCTCTACTGTTTTGCACCAAGTCCTGCACTTGTTCACATCGTCACCGGGGGGGGGGGGGGGAGGGAAGGGTGATACCGGACATCACATGTGGCACAGACAGTAAATTTCAATGCACGTCCATTCCACTTTAATTCTACCCTCATCCCAGGAATGCAATTGACTCTTTCATTTCACACCCGGGAACACTAAGGATGGGTAAAATGGAAATCCCCACAATTTATGATGAGTACGGGTGATAGAGATGGGCCTGATCCAACACAGCCCACCCACATGCTCCCCAACCCGGAAGTACAAATTCCAGTCCCACAACTCAAACTCCTCTGTCATGGAAAACCAGGGACCAGAAGACACTTTCAAATGCCATTTCTCTAAGAAAATGTCAAGGTACATTCCTTAATTGCTGGGGCTGCTCCTCTTGTTCTCTTCTAGGCCTGAAGCCGGGCACAGAGTACAATGTCACTGTCGTGTCCGTGAAGGATGAGATAGAAGGAAAACCATCTACAGTGACTGGCCAGACGGGTACGTATCTAATGGTCCCAAGGAGGATCAAAGCACCATTGAGCTCAGTGCTGTGCGGACATGCAGGGATGCCAGGACCTCAGGTGGTGATGCTTGTTTTGAGATGATTCGTGTTTTCAAGCTTCTCCCTGCAACCGTGAGGGCTAGAAACTTCAAAACAACACACAAACCCTCATCCCCTTCAGTGCGACCAAGTCAGCCAGCTCACAGACGTTTAAAGGAAGTTATAGAACATAAGTGCCACACAGCTGCAGAAAGTGTGCTGCGTACCAGCTGTGTAATGGTTTTGTGGAACAAGCGCTCCTTTAGGAGAGCTCCACGAGGTTGGCCGGCTGCACAGATGCAGTTGGATTGTTCTCATAGGCCCTCCCAGCACTCCATGCTTAGTACCAGAGAAGCCAGGGACGGCGAAGACTAACCATTGCCCATGCTGGGTACAGTTCCCCAGTAGAGGACACCTCCAACAATAGTGATCTTGAGGCATCTCTCCAAAAGTGTTAACAAAAGGCATAATGAGATCCAGTGACTGGAAACTGAAGTTAGACAAATGAAAACTGGAACTAAGGTGCAAAATGTTAAGTGCGGCTAATCATTGGAACCGCTCACCCAGGGAGATGGTGGAGTTCCCATTACTGAATGAAGTTCCTTGGTCTATGTGGTTCAGGAGATCAGACTAGATCACCACGATGGTCCTCTCTGATCTGAACCTCTATGAAATATTCAGGGCTTCCCTTTTTTCCTTGAAGGTAGTTTTCTTGCCATCTTTGGGTCATTCTCTCTTCTTCCTTCCCCATGGGACTGCGCAGGGAGCTCGGGGGGCCACTGAAACGCATTCATGGAGAATGCTAATTTCTTCTTTTAAGGTGCCCTGTGTCAGGCACTTAGTAAGTGGACTAGTCCATTCCTCTGAATATAAAGCTGGGAACTAGGAACTCCCGATACTGACTTAGCCCTTCTCTCTTGCTGTCCCTATCTGCAGATAACAATACCTGCCTCAGGGGTGCTGTTATGAAGCTGGATTATTTATTGCTGGTAAAGTCATTTGAAAATGAAATGTACTAAGTATTACTATTCTCCCCAAATGTCAGTTCTCTTCAGACGGTGTCAGTCTAGTAAGGACTGCCTTCTGCATTCAAGACAGCTGTTTAAAAGACCATTCTGCCATTTTGTCCCCAAATAATGTATTTTCAGTTTTTAAAAGCCACCATATTGATAAGATCCACCAATGTCACTCTCTGATCCCCACTCTCTGGCTTTGCATTAGGATTTAACTCACTACTTGCATTGTCAAAGCTATTTACCCTCCTGCTACCTCACCAATAGCACAGGTGCCCCGGCCAGACGGAAGCTAGGTTTGTCTCTACATTGTCTGGAAGACACTCAATGTTTGCCAAGTAGAAGACATCAAAACTAAGAGGCAGAAAATGTTTCCAACCTCTTGAAAGCTTTGCTGAGAGTAAAAGAAACACACCACTTGACAAAGAATGTGACTGTTGGGATCAGGTGGAATATTGTCCAGGAGTTGTTTACCACTGCCTGTTCTAACTCTCTCTCAAAGGAATAGACAGCCCAACTAACCTGGAGACTGACAGAGTGACCGAAGACATAGCCACCATCTCCTGGAACAGAGTTCTGGCTCCCATAGACCGATACATGGTGAGCTACACCTCAGCTGATGGGGACACCAGAGAGACAGCCGTGGGGAAAGACCAGAGCTCCACCACATTGACGGGTCTCAAGCCGGGCATGGAGTACGTCATCCACATCTGGGCTGAGAAGGGAGGCCAGCAGAGCAGGAGGGCAAACACCAAAGCTGTGACAGGTAACTAATGGCAGGGAAAGAAATGTGGACCTAGATCATGACCTTACGTGAGTGTGTCAGCTCCATTGACTTCCCTGACGTTACTCGTGCTATACACTGGTACTAGTGAGACAAGAATCCAGTCTGTAAACTGTAATTCTGACAGGTAGGCTGAATTGGCCTTTGGTTGTGAAAATGGAGCCTTGTAATCACAAGTGGTGGTACGGATCCCTATTCACAGACACTAGTCATTACTATCGCTACAATGCAGGTCATTCACTTCGTAAAACAGCCATTATTAAAACCTCTTAGTCAACAGAACATGGAGTTAATGACTTGCCTTAGAAGGCCAGGAAGAGCCTCAGAACCTCCCCTTAGTCTCCATTCTGACCTTTCCTGCACTACGCTGAGAGTAAAACACTGAGGGATATCAGGTGTGAGGGCTGCTGGCCCTGTGGTTTGGTGGCTGCCACTGTGCTGGGCTCAGCGCCCCTCTGTTCTCCCACACTTCTGCTGGTGGAATGTGTTTTTTTTAACAGAACCAATACAGTTGCACTCGGAGTAAATGGAGGGTAGCAACCACTCCCTGAGAGGGCTTTTCCCTCTGAGCTCCTTCGTGTAGCAGTTTTGCTGTTGGCCTAAGGCACAGTATCACCTTCTCATTTGGGGAAGGACTCCTAGTTCTTTCCTACTGTAGTGTTGGGGAGAGTCCTTACTGCAGTTCTTTACTTTTAAATCTTTTCTTAAAGAAATGGACAGCCCAACTAAACTGGAGACTGACGGAGTGACTGAAGACACAGCCACCATCTCCTGGAACAGGGTCCTGGCTCCCATAGACCGATACATGGTGAGCTACACCTCAGCTGATGGGAACACCAGAGAGACAGCCGTGGGGAAAGACCAGAGCTCCACCACATTGACGGGCCTGAAGTCAGGCATGGAGTATGTCATCCACATCTGGGCTGAGAAAGGAGGCCAGCAGAGCAAGAGGGCAAACACCAAAGCTGTGACAGGTAACCAGGGGAATCTTTGGCATGGGATATTAGCTAACTGCATATCACAGCTAACTGTTTTGTTCTGTTTTCTTCCAGAGTAGGGCTGTCTAGTGTGCGTTATGGGACAGTTTGTCATGTGGCCAAACACTGCCTGGGTTCATACATGCTGCAGAACACTCCAAGATTGAGATTTAGGACTTACCTCCACTCCTATTTACTCAGTTGCAAAATTTCATTGACTTTAATGGGGTGCTTGATTGGTTCCATAATGCACATAGCTTCTGTGCATGCTTCCCCCATAGGGCTCTGCCAGGGCACCACAATCTTCCCCTGTGGCCTCTCCTGAGCTCTGCCAATGTATCTAAACCCTGACTCGCAACCAGCTTACTTCTCCAGGCAGGGTCCCTCTAAAAGTCCTTAGTCCTCCATGTGTGAGTCCCAAAACACCGATTGCGAGAGGGGTATTTACTCAGGGAGACCTAGAATGATTGTAGGATTGACAAGTAAGCTCAGCAGCCTTTTGTTTTCCTCCACCTCACACAATAGCTGAGGGTGTGTAAAGGTTTGAGTCTAGAAGACATGATGTCCTAGGAGAGTCCCTTGAGAATCAGTAACATTGTAATTAATAATCAAGGCGTTTACTCACAGCCATTGACAGCCCAACTAACCTGGTGACTGACCAAGTGACAGAGGACACAGCCACCATCTCCTGGAAGAGGGTCCAGGCTCCCATAGACAGATACATGGTGAGGTACATCTCAACTGATGGGAACACCAGGGAGACAGCCGTGGGGAAAGACCAGAGCTCCACCACCCTGACAGGCCTGAAGCCGGGCATGGAGTACATCATCCACATCTGGGCGGAGAAGGGAGGCCAGCAGAGCAAGAGGGCAAACACCAAAGCTGTGACAGGTAACCAGGGAAGTCTTTGGGATGTGAACTACAGTAGCAGACTGGATTAGCTGTAAGTGTGTCCTCCCCTAGTTTGTTACACACACTGTAAAACCTAGGACTTCTTGCCACACAGTGTTGTGCTGTAGGGATGTGCCCCTTGCAAGCGTCTCAAAGCTCTCAGAACCTGGTGTGGCTGAGAGAGGAAATAGCACTGGCCGACATGGGGTGTAGCATGGGTAAATGCTATGTGCTCTTGTCCCTTCTTCCCCCCTCTGCCAGTGTGCCACAGCTGTAGTCTGTAGCACCCCCACTAAGCTAGTTCTGCCCTTCCTCCCAACAGCTCTGCTGCTGACCCCATGTGTGACCCACAGCACCTGTACTGTTCATTCCTGAGTCCTTTTGTGTTTCAGTTTTGGGTGAAGCCCCCAGCCAAAAATTCCAGTCCTGGCCTTCCCCAGGAGTTCAGCCACTGCATTTTACCTGCAGCATCACCTGCTGTACCCTGGTGGGGCATCGACCAGTGCATCCCAATTCTGACCTTCAATTGACCCAATATTCCAGTACTAAAACTGAGCTGAGAACACTGGACCCTATGGACTTATTATCCTTCACCTTGAAAAAGTTCTAAGAGTGTGAAAATAAAGTTTAGAGACCAAAGGGAACACAGGAGACAGACAGCCAGTTTAGACTCTGTTAATAATGTTCTAATAGTCCCCACTTTTACTCACAGACATCGACAGCCCAACTAACCTGGTGACTGACGGAGTGACAGAGGACAAAGCCACCATCTCCTGGAAGAGGGTCCAGGCTCCCATAGACAGATACGTGGTGAGCTACACCTCAGTTGATGGGGACACCAGAGAGACGGCGGTGGGGAAAGACAAAAGCATCACCACCCTGACGGGCCTGAAGCCAGGCATGGAGTACGTCATCTACATCTGGGCTGAGAAGAGAGGCCAGCAGAGCAGGCGAGCAAACACGAAAGCTGTGACAGGTAATGGGGGACTGGAGGGAGGAGAAAATAGATGGTGACATCTCGATCCCTTTCCTAGCTTGTCTTTCGTGATTTCTTTTTGTATCATTGTGTATAAAGGGAACTTTGCCAGTCAGGTTTTAGCTGCTTAGAAATTCTGCACTGGCCAGACCACCGTGAAGCTAACTGGATGAGCTGTTAGAAATGGCACAGAGAGCAGAACTAGACAAGGCAAAAGCTATATGCTCCCTGAACACCTGCAGTTTCAATGGTAACTTCACTTTTAACCCTCTCAGATCTCTAGCTGTCCCCTCTCTTTGGGCCGGGCCCAATGTCCCACGCTCCTTGGACTGAGAGTTTAAAGCTGCAGCTTCCTGCTCTGTACTGTGATCATCCTTTGCAGGCCTGACAAATGTTCAACCCCTGCTCCTTAGTTCCTTTCTAAGGACAACAATCCTGTTTTTACCAGTGACCACAAAACTCTCCCAAGGCAAACACGTGTGTTCAAAGACAAAAGCACCACAGAGAAAAGGTGAAACAAAACCAGAATCTAAATTCACGCTGACTACCAGTAATTGCCCATCAGGTCTGTAGGACCCTGGTAGGCCTGAATCCTTCCAACCTGTCAGCGAGGCTTGGGGCCGCCTTGGCACCACACATCCTGACCATTTGCTGAAGCCCAAGAAAGACCCAAAGGCCCACTGAAAATGTTAGGTTGACATAGCTATGTTGCTTAGGAGTGTGAAAAATCCACACCTCTGCGTGCAATAGCTAAGCTGACCTGATCCCGGTGTAGACACAGCTAAGTTCATGGAGGAATATTTCCAGTGTCTGAGCTGCCTGCTCGGGACGTGGTGTTCCCACTAGGAGCGGCCTGAGGCCGGCTGCGGCAACTGGCGCCCCAGGTGGAAGGCGTGATCGGTGCCCCCGCCTGCACGGCCATCAATGGCTGTGACGTAATCATCGGGCGCCCTGTGACGTCATCATCGGGTGCCCTGGGCCGGCGGCACCCTAGGCGACCACCTAGTCTGCCTAGGCTCACGGGCTGCCCCTGGTTCCCACAGCGATGGAAAACCCCTGCCATTAGCATAGGTTGCACCTGTACTACGAGCTTACAGCACTGTAGTGATTCTGCTATTGTCTTTGTAGTGTAATCATGCCCTGCGTCTGTTTCACCTCAGCATTTTATATCCCAGGTTTGTTCTTTTTCTCTTGCCTCTCCTCTGCGACTGCCCTACGTGCGCATATGCAAACCACCCCAGCGGTAGTACGTCTGTGGAGCTGTTTGTAGCCTCAGGGATGGTGATAATCTGCCCCCACTGATTTGAGTTCTTGGAGGAGCTTTGGTAACCCTACCCTTATGGAGAGGCATACAATCCCTGGCCCACAATGCTACAGAAGCTTCAGGGGGTAGCCAAGTTAGTCTATACAGGATAAACTTAAAAAACAACAAATAGTCTGGTAGCACTTTAAAGACTAACAAAACATGGAGATGGTATCACGAGCTTTCGTGGGCACAGCCTGTGTCAGACATTGCATATGGTTGCAATGTCTGTCACAAATGGCATCTAACCTATCTGGATCCGGTAGCATTTTATATCCTCTTTGCACTGGACAATGGAGAACCAACCCCCTTATATTTTTTCAGTTACTCCATGTTAATTTGGGTTAAAAATAACAGGTCAGGCCCTGAGCTCTGGTGGGTTACTTCATGTTCTCAGAAGAGTGTAAAGCTTTAAAGCTTCTTGGCTCAAGTAGCTGGGGATGTCTCCTGCAGAGAGGCACGTGCAGTATGTTTGAGATGGGGGGGGCACTCCCTTCCTGTGATCCCCTAATTGGTGTAGGTTAGGGTAGCCCAAAGCCCACATTTATGTCCGGGGTCAAGCTTCTCCCCCCCAGCACTCTTGTGAACTGGGGAGAGCACAAGTGGGTGAGTGTAGCTCTGTTGAGGCTGAGTATCTGGGCTAATACCCCAAGCTATTCAAAACTCAGAAATTCCACCTGGGGCGGGGGAATTGCAACATTTTGGAATTTGTTTTTGCTCTGAACAGAAAGGAACAATGTTCACAATTTCTTGCAAAATAACACAGTTGAAAAAATCATTTTAGGTCAATTGGAACATCTCATTCTGAGCTACAGATTTCTTTAAGAAATTCAAAATGAAGAATCAAACCATTTTGATTTTTTTTTTAATAAAATGTCCAAATTTATGCATTGATTTCAACAAAATGGCGCTTTCCAATGCCAGAAAATTCTTGACCAGCTCTGCTAATAGCATTAAAATCTTACTGAAGACAACACCTATCTGTTTAGTTTCGGTACTTGTGTATCTCCCATTCTTTAATGGATTCATCTCGTCTTACAACACCCTGTGAGTGAGGGCAGCCCCATTGTACGCATGGGGAACTGAGGCACAGAAAGTAAGTGATTTGCCCTGGGTCACACAGGAAGCCTGTGATGGAGCAAGGAATTGAGCTGAGTATTTCTGCACGCTCATACGTGTGCATATATTTCTGTGTCAGTAGTTGGTGCTGTTTCCTGAATACCGACCCTGCCCACCAGACACGCTCGGATTGAAACAGGGAGGGACAGAGGAAGTGAGACCAAATGGCCGGAGATCTTTGTGAAATTAGCTACAGGTTCCCAAAGGGTCTTATCCCAGAAAGCACCCAGCATTGTGTGAAAACTTGGTGGATTCTTCAGTGATTGTTGTTACTGAAAAATTCAGCTTGGGAGCTAGGAAGGGATCATTCCAGAGAAGAAGGGTCAGAAACCCCTCTGATCGCAAAGAATGCCTTTATTCTTGCATGCCCAGTACAAAATAATATCAGAGGCTATTTATGTTCACTGTGAAATGGTTTTGGTAAAACTAAAGCCAGCCTGCTCTTCACATTCAGGGAACAAGCACACAGCTATTTGAATGTATGGCTTGGCCTTTGCTTTTAGTGCCCATGCTCTGGATCATACAAAATAACAGAGGCCAGAGGGTTATTTTGCACTTGTACGTTGTTCAAATAAGCAAACATATTAAAATGAAAAGTTTCCAGTGCTTGCAAAGGGAGCTGCTTTTCCATGGAGGCGTTATGTGGGTACAGAGTGTTAATGCAAAGCCCCCAGGTTTGGTGAAGAGAACCCCACATGTGGCAGTGTATACCCTTGGAGAAAGAGAAGGGCCACCTTAATTCATGTCCCTGCACCCTTACTGCACCAGTCCATGGGACTGGAACCTGGCTCCGTGGAATCTGTCCCCATATTGCCATAAGGTGGCTATACCTGACCACACCCAAGGGGCACTGTGGAGATTAGGCACTGCAGGAAGTGCCACTCAAAGGGTCCTGAGCAGCAGCGCCCTGCAGCTTTCTGATTGGCTTTTGCTCACCTTTTAGTCTGAGAGGGTGCCCCAGAAAGTTGTCTAGGCAACTACCCAGACCCTGGCCTCCTGATCCCAGCCTGGTAGCTGCATCCAATCTCCAGTCTCTGACCCTGGGCTAACTCTGAGCCTGATTCCATTCCTTAACAATTCCTGCTCTAGTGATTACTCTGATGCTACCATATGGCCATCCTTGATTGGCAGTCACCAGCCCAGCCCTGATAGCTTGTCCAGATCACACATGCCCTGGACTCTTATACCAACTCCTCAAGCTTTAGAAGTGAGAACTACGTATCTGCTGTCAGGCTGGTTTGCTCTCCTGAAGGGAAGAGGAGTGTGTGACTGGGAATGTTGATGACCGTAAACATGTGGGGCAGGTGGCGCTGGTTGAAGATGAGCTTGGTGTTGGCTCAAGGTGCAGGTATGTGCTGAGAACTTCCCATGTGGTTCTGCCAAGGAACCCAAGTTCAGATCATAAGCTGCTCCTACTCTCGATTCCCTCACAGCTCTGCCAGTGCAATTCAGTACTCACCCGATAGCACTGTATGCTAATTCAGTCCAGGGTGACACTGTAGGGAATAATTCTGGACACTCTGGATGCAGGTGAAAACAAGCTGAGGATTTATTGTACACCAGCACTGGTGGAGTACCAACCAGGGGTTAACCTGGAAAGCACTAGTTAATCAAAACATTACATTGAATTATATAGGCAGCAGGTGGGTGAAGTGGAAGCAATTTCATAGGTTCTGGCGGCAAGACATAATGAGCATATCATATATATAGTAGCCCAATGTCTGTGACTTGTCCCCTCGGGGCGGCGCTGTTGCCTCCCGCCGTAGCGCTCGGCTGACTTCTGCGCCGCTCAGCCGGGATGCCGCGTGGGAGCATGGGGGTGGTGCATGGAGAGGGTGGGGCCCAAACGGCCGCTTGCACCGCTTTCTCCTGCATGGAAGCCCAGCTGAGCGGCTCAGAAGTCAGCTGAGCACCACGGCGAGAGGCAACAGCGCTGCCCAGAGGGAACAGCCAGGTGGCAGGGCCTGGACAAGCATGCATCCTAGATGGAGACAGAGGAGAGTAGAGAGAGAGTGAGAGGCAGGAGGGAGAGAAGAGAAAGAGAGAAACGGAGAGAGAGGCAGAAGGTGGAGGAGAGCTGAGAGAGAGGGGGAGGCAGGAGGAGGAGGAGGAGAGAGAGAGAAAGAGACATGGAACAAGAGACCAGAGGCTCAGGAGAGAAGACCGATGTGGAGGAGAGACCTGAAAATACTGTCTTATGATGGGTTAATTGGCTAATAAGCCAATAAACTACAAAGGTTACACAGCATCTCCGCCCACCACCAATTAAACATCTTATCAGTAATACAGGTAGTTATTCCTAACAAGCTAAATAAGCCAACATAAACAAAAGACATGTTGATGGTAACTTTGTCTGCTGAAATTATGATGCGTCTACTACAGGGGTGAGACTGTCTTGCATTGGCACGGTCCTTGGGATCCAGGCTTATTATCTAGGGTTAAAGAAGACAGAACAGCTTCTGTGAAGTTTGTTTTGGTACCAGCCAGGGCATCATCGGAGTGAGGCTCTTTTGGAATGTGGTTGCCAGGGCAACCAGGGTCATGGTAGCTGCTTGCTCCGTGTGTTCCCAGGCCTCAAATTTAGGATTTGAATGAGAGTTTTAGCAAGATAGCATGGACTGCCTCAGTTTACCCCTACAGCCACCAACACCTGACAACACTCTATGCTATTTCCATTGCAGCTCCATTGGCTGTGCGTTTGAAGTTTGATTTGCAGCAATCTTTACTGTCTCAGTCCTGGGTCCCCACACTCTGCTAATGTACCTCAGGCATTCCTTGTTGCTAACCATGAAACAGCTTCTTAATGCTCTGGCCAGTTAAAAGTTCTCTGCCTCCATACCCAATGAAGGGTCACTCTGTGTTGATGTTGCTTCTTCTCAGAGGTACTTATACAACCAGACAGTTGGATTCTCTTCTCTGCTTTTTGTCTGAAATAGAAATTGACCCTCCCAAGAACCTCCGTGTATCGGATGTGACGCAGTCCAGTGGCATTGTTACTTGGATGCCACCTGCAGCACAAATCAATGGCTACACACTGACCTACCAGGCTCCAAATGGCACCAGCAAGGTACTGTGAGCTCTTCAATTCCTGCTTGTTGCAAACAGCCCCCTGTTTAGAGTGCACACGTGATTGTGGGTTAATCCATCAGATCCCATTATTGAGACCACTTGCACAACCTTAGAATGTAAGTGGGGAGATGTCCCGGAGAGTGGAACATCTTATGCTTGTTGGGAGATGCCCCAACTGGATGGAGTGTACCACTGTGGACCGTTGCTGGGTGTTGTGGAATGGGCAGATCCTTCATGGAATAGGAGAGTTCCATTGTAAATGGCCTTGATTTTGGGGGCAGGGATGTGTTTTATCTTTGCTTTTCCATGTGTTTATAAGTGGCAGAGACACCTTGCATGTGAGAGATCTCATTCACAAATGGGCGTGCATGCAGCTTAGCCCCGGTGGATACACTTGTTTGTAGGTTTTGTGCAAGTTCCCTTTTCCGCCACATCCTCACTTCAGGGACAGGGAATCCTCATCCTACCCACTAATATACAGACTGACCTGTATTTATGGGACATACCCTGCTACCAGCATTTTTCTGGCTGTGCCCAGCTCACCTCTACAAGCATGCCAAGTATGGAAGCAGCATGGCTACGGAGTGGGGCAGATCTTTAGTCTTCCTTGTCTTTGTTTGGCAGGAAGTGCACCTGGGCCCCAATGAGCAAAGATTCACATTGGAAGGTCTGGAACAAGGAGTGAGGTACACAGTCTATGTGATGGCCTTTAAGGGAGACCGCCGGAGCAGGAAGGCAGCCAGCATCTTCTCAACGGGTAGGTTTGGCACTAATAATATTTAGCACTTCACATTTAAGGGTTCGTGGTGTTGGTTCCACTCTACAGAGGCCAGGAGAGATTAAATGACTAGTCAAAGATCACCCAGTAAGTGGGTGGGAAACAGAACACGGATCTTCTGACTTTCAGCCCAGTGCCCTGGGCCAAGCTGCCTGGCAGGTTGCAGATGCAGTGGGGGAAGAGCATGAGTTGACTCTGATCGGGGTGAGGTTGCTGACAGAGCCCGTTGAGTACAGTAGATTGACTGGTTGTGAGAAGCTGATTGGAGGTAGGGAAGGTGATCGCCAGCCCTGGATCTGCTTGTGAGCCCGTTGAGTACAGTAGATTGACTGGTTGTGAGAAGCTGGTTGGAGGTAGGGAAGGTGATCGCCAACCCTGGGTCTGCTTGCATCATCTCAGTACCATGGGGGCAACGTGTGTCTTGCAAGCACTCCTTGTGGCATCCAAGAGCAGCCTGAATTCACTAACTGTGCCCAGGAAACTTGCATCAAAATGCCCTCCTGTTGAGGAGCTTTTCATGCCAAAGTCACGCAGGAGTTTGTCCTATTGCGGTGTCACCCTCTGAATGGTGCAAGTGGGAAGGGCCACTCGCTCTCCATCTATAACCAGTACTTCCCTAGGCATCCTCGCCTCCAGAAGTATCCTGTTTTCCCTGACACTCGCTCAAGGACCAGGCTGCCTCCTGCAGGCTCCAGGGATCCATTCCTGGGTCAGGAAGACAGCCGGTAAAGCTGATATGTAGCTTAGGTGGAGGGAGTCTTTACTGGAGTCTGGTAGGGCTCATGGCATCAGTTGAGAGGGGCCTGTGGGGATGCAGATAGCGCAGAGAATCTGTGTGATCCCACAAGCCTCAGGCTGTCATTGTTCCTGTTCAAGCCACAGCCTCTTTAGGAGACTCAGCTGGGAATGACTTGCTGACCTGGGCTTTCCCCTGTCTTGTTCCCACAGTTGGCTTACTCTACCCCTACCCTGCGGACTGCAGCCAGACCCAGCAAAACGGGAACGCTGCCAGCGGCATGTACACCATCTACCTGAATGGGGATGCTGGCAGGCCCCTGCAGGTGTTCTGCGACATGGCCACCGATGGAGGCGGTTGGATAGTGAGTCTTGTGGGGGCCTTTGCCCAGCTGTCTCTTAAAAACCGCTGTGCTGGCAGCCCTGGAGACTGAAATGGGTTTATGGCCAGCACAGGCAGCAGCGTCGGCAGAATCTCTCCTCGTGCTCGGCAGCGCCACGCAGTGTTTCTCACTCTGGCCTGGGAGGTCCCACTCTAGGGACAAGGGGCTGTTGCTTTTATGTCCAGGCCGTCCTTGCATTCTGCAGAGGATGCCAGTTGGGTGGTGTCACGGGGTGCTCTACTCACTGCCGGTGGCACCTCCTCCTGGCTGTTCTGGGGCCTAGCTCTCTTCCAGCCCCAACTCCTCCTTTTGTGGTCTCTCGCTGCATCTGCAGCCCCTCTCTCGCTGGGAGCTGCAGCTTTGTCTTCGTGACTCAGACCTCCGGCCAGCTCATGATGTGGTTTCCCCTTCTGCACTATGGAGTCTCACTAGACCCACTGTCCAGGCACTGCCACTCTCTGTGGCAGGTAGGGGAACCCGGGGCTGCCCACTGCTTCAGGTTCCAGCCCAGGGTCCCTGCAATGTAGCCAAGATCTGTTCAGTGTTCAAGCTTGCAGCTTTCTCCCTGGTCTGCTTCCTACTCTGCCTCCCACGGGCTTCCTCACAGAAGCCATTTCTGTTGCCAGCTTCCTGGCGTTGTACTAGCCCAGCCCCCTTACTGCTCAGCTGAGCTCCGTCTTCCAATCAGGAGTTATTTCTCAAGCGTAATCACTTGTACAGCCTGTCCCACTATTGGTCCCTTTCTCAGTTCCTGGGCGCTTTTGGGACTGATGGGAGATGAACGCCAATCACAGGTGTGGTGGTTGGGGACTGGGTAGTTCATTGAGATGCAAAGCATTTCATTGGCTGGTCCCTTATTCCAATCAGGCCGTGGCATTAGTGACTGAATGTCATTACCACCTGATAACTGCATAGTGTGAAATGAACATACAGTCTTGAGTCCAGTTCCTAGTGGACTGCTGGCCACAACATAGAAACCATGACCTATGGGCATTGTACAGCTGGGCAGGAGTATAAAACTGTAATTCCTGTAGTCTCTCTCTCTGGAGTGACCCCAGCCTCCACCAGAGGAACATTATCTTCATCTCTCTCTTTTTTTTTAAACATTTTTATTTTAGTGAAGGCTGAATGATGGTAACAATTTCCCATGACTGTTTGTTCCCGTTAAAGAGAGTTCCCATTGGTTCTCTTGTATATCTAATTCCAGTTTACGTAGGTGTTCATACCCTAGTAGGGAGGGTTGTGTTCCGTTTTCTCCTCACTGTCCACAAACAGGAGTGAGATTTGATGTAACTGAGGGCAAACAATTGTGGAAAGCAAATTTTGAATTCCCAGACACAAGAGCTTGTGTGCTTCTCTAGGCAGGGAACATTACAATAAAGCGTGTGTCATCACCTGGCCAATCGCAGCTTGAATTATGAGCACTCCCTTTTATTGGACAGAGCTGAATTGTGGATACATGGAAGGAAATTGCAAGCTGCTGGATGCATATTCCACGCGGAGAAAATGAAGACGATTTACCTAATTGTTCATGACTCACTCGGCAGGGCTTGTTTTGCAGGTGTTTCAGAGGCGGAACACCGGACAGCTAGATTTCTACAAGCGCTGGAGGAATTATGTCGAAGGCTTTGGAGACCCCCTGGAGGAATTCTGGCTTGGTATTGTATCTGCATGTGAAGGGTGAACCGCTAATGATAGGCTTGGTAGAGGCTGGCCAGCATGTTGATGCTTATCTCAAATACACAATCCTCTCAGATCTGCAGTCAGGTTGGAAACAGCCCTGGGCATGTCTCTTTCGGCTCTTGCATGTAAGTGCAAAGGCAAATGAAACAAATCCAGTGTCTGCTGAAGTCCAGGGGAGTCTGATCACTAACTTCATTAGGCTTTCACTCAGAGTGAACCAAAATTTTCCATCCCTCAGAAAAGGTCAATTCAGGGGTTGTGTGATCCTGTACCAGGAGAGGAGTTACAAGATACCAGCGCCCCGATTTAAAGGAGAATGTGGCATGCACTCCAATGTGAAGAATAGGAACAAAAAGGATTATGTTTGGCAAGTCCATTTTCTGTGTCTCCTTTCCTGCAATTTGAGCTGACTGCTTAGATTGGCGAATTCTGGTCCCAGACACAACAGTGGCTGGAGTCTTTAGTGGCGCTCAGAGAATATTTCTTCACAGTCTGGATTACCCCTCTTGCTCCAGCATTGACAGTAGACTCCTATATTTCTGATATGTCCCCCTGTTGCCATGAAGCCGAGTATTATGGTGCAAACTCCTCCTTATTGGTACGATGTAACTTTAGGATCAAGTAGGGGGAGAATGCAGGATGAGGAAGCGCAAACCACTGATATAACCCCAAATGTGGCAGGAAGAAACCTTGGAACAGAAAAAGTGAATCAGTTTTGACACTTGTTTTCCCTCCATAGAATAATTACTTTGGCTGCTTCTCCCAGGTCTTGACAAGCTGCACAACCTCACTAGTAGCACTCCCGTTCGGTATGAGATCCGGGTGGATTTGCGGACTTCCAATGACTCCGCCTACGCCGTCTATGACTCCTTCCAGGTGGCTTCGAGCAGGGATAAGTACAAGCTTTCGGTGGGGAATTACCGTGGCACTGCCGGTGAGAAACGCTTTGTGTCCTCGCTGCTTCTGTCGCACGAAATTGACGCAAGCATTGGGATTAGGGACACTTGCTTTCCCATTAGCACAGGGGCTGGAGTACACTGGTGTACATTAGAAGTCCCGTAAGCCAGCTTGCTTCCTGGTGGGTCTCTAAGGAGAGACATATCCATTGGTATTTCTGGCTGGGCCTGGGGGAGCAGGCTTGGCAGGCCGTCCCCTGGAAAGGAGGTGGGGAGGGGGCAGGGGGGCTTGGTGTGGCTCAGCTGCCACTGGATGAAGAGATAGAGAAGAGGGAGGAGGCCCATGGAACTGTCCCAAGACTGGATCAGGTGGAGCAGGCCACCCACCAAAGATGCCAAAATAGGGAGCGGTTCCAGCAGATGAGGCTGTGAAGACACTGGAGGGCTGTTGGGCATTTCCAATGAAGGGAGACAACATTGGGGCTGGGGGGAAGGAGGAGGGTTGTGTGGTGAGGAACTGGACTGGAATTCAGACTCCTGGGGGGTTCACTCAGAATTATTTCCAGTCCTTTGTCATCTGCACTCCAGGTATTCCCTGCTACCTGTGCCCTTGACTTCCAAGTCTCTGACTACTGCCTACCGCTCCATCCCTTCCAGCCTTCTGG